CCCAAGTTTTATGATAGACGGAGACTGCCCCGAAAGGCAGCTCTTAAAAGGAGAAACAAGCCTTTGTTCTCCGGCTAGCTCACCCTTACCCCTCATTTGTTGCACTAAGGTGCTGCAGGTAACTCTTAAGTTCCCTGGAGTCGCGACCAGGGAGCGCACACGTGGCTGTGGCTGGACCCAGTCTTTGTGTGTCTAGAGTCCATCCGCTACTGCCTTGGCTGCCCGTCTTGGAAGAGGAGACTTCTTCTCTCAGTTGGATCTCAGATGAGTATGATCGTATACCTCAGAGTCATCCCCTTTGTTTGATGCTTTTGTTGTTTTTCATGCTTATTGTTTTCTTACCCTATTGTAACTAAGGAGCTTGTGTGAATTTGTACGCATCTGTTTTGGTATGTCTGAACAATTGCTTTAGTAAAGACAACGTGATTTTAATCCTAGCTGTTGTCTGTCTTCCTGGGAAATAGCGGGCTTTCAACACGCGCCAAAATCCGACCTCTGTATACACTGGTTTTGAACTCACGCACCGCCCGCCTCTGTACTCAGAGTCAATCCGGGCTCCCAGAACCGGTTCCGGTCCAGTTCGGGTAACAGCTAAACCGCATGGCTTCCTTAGCGCTTACATGTCCCGACATGTCTGTATCAATACATAACACTGCCGTTTCCTCCAAAGGAACCGATTTGTGTGCCCTGGAGATCAGCTGTAACTATGGGAGAACACTAGGCCGCACCCTGAGATTATTATAGGGTTCCCAAATCCCCCCGGGGGGCGGATTTACCCTCGCTTTCAAGGCCCGACTTCCGCCCCACGCAGAATCGGGCCCGGGGGAAAACCCACCCAACGCACGCGCGTCACCCGGAAGTGACGTCGCACGCTGGGGGCGGGGCCACACCATTTGAGGGGAAAACTTTGTCTGTATGGCCCCTTCCAACTCAGTGATTCTGTGATTCTAATTATGTATGTAAAATCTCAGCGTGCATCATTCATCCTAATATATCTGACAGTTTAAGGGTTAGAATCCTAGTAGATTATTCACAGGACGTTTACTTGGCCCGTGTTTTTCTTTGCAGAGACCAGAAACATGGCTGCAGATACAGCAGTTCTTTACTGGAAAACAGTCTGTGGAGTACTGCAATCAATGCTCACTCTAAGCTGTGGAGTCTTGTAAGCAAAAAAATCAACTTTGTGAGCTACTGGTAATCTGGCTACTGCATAAATTAGTTTGCTCTGGAGCAGTGTTCCCTCTAAGCTGAGTTAGTGTGAGCTAGCTCACAGTTTCTTACCTTCCATCTCACATATTTTTGCTTTAGCTCAGGAAGGATGGCTCCTGAACAAACTAATTTATGCAGTAGACAAATTGCTCGCTCACAACTTTAATGACAGGAGCTCACAAAGTAGAATTTTTGCTCACAAGACTCCACCGCTTAGAGGGAACATTGCTCTGGCGCCATCCTTCCTGAGCCAAGACAACCATGTGTGAGGTGGAGGCTAAAAAACCTAACTCAGCTTAGAGGGGACATTGATTGCAATGTGTTTTTACATGATGTGAAATAACTTTGCAACTGTGAAGAATATTGGCTCTTTTCTTTTTCTTTTTCTTTTTTTAAATCAGCTGGCAAGGCCTGAAAGGCATCCAATGTTTGGGGATTCTTTATTAAAACTGAGTCCTCTCCAACCCCTTGGGGACTTTCCCTCTTGGAGTTTCCCGTTACAGCTCCATTGCACAGGTCTGCAGGCAGAGAGTTGACGAACGGAAAATCCTCTGCCAACCCTTTGCAGTAGCAGTGTGTCCAGAATGAAGTCACAGCCTAGGCATAAATGTCAGATGGGAGACGGATATGTTTGGGATAAAAATAGAAAAGGGCACAGCTGTATTAGAAGGGAAGCTTTGGGGGAAATCCACCGCACCGATTACAGGGATCCTGCGGGTGGATTCTCTCCCCCGGGCAGAGAGCATGGCTGCAACCCCTACCCCACGGCTCCAGCGGCTGAGGAGCTCTTCCCTGAGCCACGAGAGCTTGTGGGGCTCGCCGGAGACCTGGCCCTCCACAGAAGAGGCCCGAGCCTGGGTGCTGGTGCTCAACACCGGGGGCACCATTGGCATGGGGGGCACAGAGTGTGGTAGAGGTGAGTGGACAAACGGCAGAGGCCTGTGGGGAAGAGATATCCTGGGTAACTTTAACTCTTTGGCAGAATAGCCTGGGTTCCAAAGCTAGCAGGTGGCATTGATCTTGCGGACAGGCCAGGAGGCCTTAGAGTCGTTGCTTAGTGCTGGAATGTGTCGTGGATAGTATGGCTCAGGTTTAGAAAATGGGACGTCCCAGCGTGTACAGCTTGATCCCCCCTTTTTTTCTGTTGAGTGGCCCCACTGGCTTCTATACATCTTTACCCATTCTATAAGAACCCCTGAGAATCCCCCAATGCCCCATGCGTTTGGGGGGAAATGAAGGATAGGAGGTACACACACCCTTGGAATAATGCTGATCTGCCCTCTCATTCCTAAAAATAAATAAATAGATTAGTGCTGGTTTTCCACTAACCAGATTCCCTGTTGATCCCCTTTACCCTCTTAGGCACACCCTCTTTCTCCAGGGTCTGTCCAGTATTTATAAGCCGCTCTGAAGCCGCTGCGTGGAACTGACACTTTGTGGATGTAGTCTGACTGTTCCTGTACAACCCAAGACCTACCCAAACTCACGAACATTCCACAACCCAGCGGCACACCCAACACTAACCCCATCGCACCATAAAACGGCGCCAGGTTAGTTGCTACCCCAGTCAACTCCATAACAAAACATAATACTATTTAAAAAGCTAAATAAACCATACATCTTTGTTTGGGTTACCTAACCAAAACTTGTAATCTGATAAACCACCGTTGTTATTCAACTACAGAAACTAATGACCGCAACCCGAAAACCTCACCCTACTGCAAAAACCATCAGCAACTCACACACACCATTGGAATACTGGTGATCTGCCCGCTCATTCCTGAAAAGATAAATTAGCGTTTGTTGTTGCTCAGTCGCACAGTCGAGTCTGACTCTTTGTGACCCCATGGACCACATCACGCCAAGCCCTCCTGTCTTCTTCCGTCCTCTGGAGTTTGCTCAATTTCATGCTCATTGCAGATTCTCTGTTGGTCCCATTTACCCTATTGGGCACACCAGGATACCCTCTTTCTCCAGGGTCAGTCTCTTCCCAGGTTTATAGTCATTTGCATTGGTCTGTCAAGCAACTGCTCTGATATGGTCCAGACTGACATTCAGTGTCCGTGATGGTCAGTGCAGCTTCAAGAGCCAGTTTGGTGTAGTGGTTAAGTGCATGGACTCTAATCTGGGAGAACCGGGTTTGATTCCCCACTCCTCCACTTGCACCTGCTGATGTGACCTTGGGTCAGTCACAAGCTCTGGCACAGCTGTCCTTGAAAAAGATCAGTTTGTGTCAGAGTTCTCTCAGCCCCACCCACCTCACAGGGTGTTTGTTGTGGAGAGGGGAAGGGAAAGGAGTTTGTAAGCCGCTCTGAGACTCCAAGTGAAGGGCGGGGTATAAATCCAATCTCTTCTTCTTCTTCTTCTTCTTCTTCTTCTTCTTCTTCTTCTTCTTCTTCTTCTTCTTCTTCTTCTTCTTCTTCTTCTTCTTCTTCTTCTTCTTCTTCTTCTCCAGCAACTTCTTCTGTATGGAAAATACTGTTCTACGCAACGGTAAAACCAGGTATTGAAGCCAATGGCTTTCTCATGTTGTGTTGTCTCCAGGGCTTGCTCCTGAGGCTAATAAGTTAGTCAAAGCCTTGAAAAAAATGCCCATGTTACATGACGAAGAGTATGCAAAGGAAACAAAACTCTATGATTCCTGTGAGTCTGCAGACAGCACCTTAGTGCTTCCGTAAGTAGAAACATCTACTCTGTGCTTGATGAAGGACTAATTCTGATCTCTGGGTGACCTAGGGTTGCCAGCTCTGGGTGGGGAAATACCTGGAAGATTTGGGGTTAGAGCCTGGGGAGGGCAGGGTTTCCGGAGGGAAGGGAGCAGTGTACAATGCCATAGCCTCCACCCTCCAAAGCAGCCATTGTCTCCAGGGGAATTGATCTCTGCTGCCTGCAGATCAATTGTAATACTGGGAGACCTCCAGGCCTCACCTGGAAGTTGGCAAGCCTAATTTCCTGCTGTACACTGCATTGGTCAGGCCACACCTGGAGTACTGCATTACGTTTTGGAGGCCTCGCTTCAAAAAGCATGCCGATGGAATGGAGCGGGTGCAGAGGACAGCGACCAGGATGATCGGGGGCCTGGAGACCCAGCCCTGTGAGGAAAGGCTGAGGGACTTGGACATGTTCCGTCTGGAGAAGAGGAGGCTGAGGGGGGGACATGATTGTTCTCTTGAAGGATTGGAAGGGCTGTCACTCAGAGGAGGGCAGGGAGCTGTTCCTGTGGGCAGCAGAGGAGAAGACTCACAAGAACGGGTTTAAATTAATGGTGGGGAAGTACTGGCTGGATATTAGGAAAAAACATTTGTACAGTCAGAGTTGTGCCGCAGTGGAATCAGCTGCCTAGGGAGGGGGTGGCAAGCTCCCCCTCCCTGGCAGTCTTCAAGCAGCGGATGGACAAACCGTTGTCAGGGATGGTCTAGGCTGATCCTGCACTGAACAGGGGGTGGGGCTGAATGGCCTGTAGGGCCCCTTCCAACTCTGTGGTTCTATGTATTAATGCTTCAAGGGCACACAGAGGCTGCCCCGCCTCACAATTCTCTTTCGCCAGAGACTCACAAAGGGTCCGGCCTGTATGTCATCCAAAAATGGTTCAAAGAAGCTGGGTTTGGTTGACTAGAAAGGGGGTTGACATAGCCCCGGAACCTTTAAGAGAAGACATGCGTACCAGCCAATGAAATAAAACAACACACATGGCTTCCCTGTTTCAGGTTATGGAACTGGCTTGAAAACCTGTTTCCACTTCTGCGGCTATTTCATGAACTCATGAAGCTAGGGTTGCCAAGTCCTATCTCCCCCCCCCCCAGCGGGAGCCTTTTGGGGGCGTTCCTGGAGGGGGTGGGGCATCCCTGACATGATTACATCACATTGGGGACAACCCCCCCCCCCGCCCAACGGGGCGCCGGCTCCCTGCAGTTAAAGGGGCCCCTTTAACTGCAAGGAGCCGAAGTTTCCGCAGCCACACCTCTCCCTCCTCTCTCTCAAGAGAGAACGGAGAGGGGTGGCGGCGGGTGTTGGGGCTTGGGGTCGGGGCTTCCCCCAGTGGCCAACTGGCCGCCGGCGGATAGAAGCCCCCCAAAAGCAGGGGACCCCTGCCAAACTGGGGGGTTTGGCAACCCTACATGAAGCTGAATTATGCTGAATAAAACCATCAGTCCATCAAGGTCAGTGTTGTCTACTCAGACTGTCAGCAGCTCCACAGGGCGAGGTCTTTCACTTCGCCTACTGCCTTGCCTGTAATGTATTCATAGCTGCCATGAGTACAGGAGGTTTTATGTGAATCATCACATAGGGAAGCAATGTTAAGCTTCGTCTTGGACAGAGCATCCTAGTCCAAGACTCACGACCCAATCACATTCAAGCAAGCTGCAAGCGGGAACGTTTGTGATTGGTCCTTATGCGCTCAACCTGATAGGTTGTTATGTGTATAGTGGGAGTGGCTATGTTAGCCGGGAATGTTTAAATACCGGGCAGTTTCAATGGGCAAACTGTTCGGGCTATCAGATGTTGTACCGTGTCGAAGAAGTGAACAAAGAGCTGAATAAACTTGAGTCTTTTGCTGAATCACTCTCCGACTCATTGTTAAGCGCCGGACTTAACAATTGGCGACGAAGGTGGGATCCTAGTGCGGGTAGGCAGCCCCGCTACATCCAGACCCACGACGGACAACGAAGAGCAGCAGCTCGCCGTGGCCAGTCAGCAACGGGCACCACCAGAGCCGGTGGCAGCGATTGCAACGATGGCCAATAGCCCGAAGTTCGAGGCCTTCAAACCAGCGACCGAGGACTGGGACTCCTACCTGTCAAGGTTCGGGTTCCACCTCGAAGCCTCCGACATCACGACGGAGGAGAAGAAGCGGGCGACGCTCCTGAGCTCTTGCGGAAAGAGCGTGTTCGACATCGCCCGGTCCCTGGTGGCACCAGCGGACATCTCGACCGTCTCGTACAAGGACCTGACCGAGAAGCTGCAGGCACATTTCTCCCCGA